TTCCGGTCCATGCATATCCGTTAGTGTCAATTCAACAATGACCATCTTAGAGTGAGGGTCGAGAAGAAGAGCAACATAAATGAACTTATTCATCTTATCCACATCCCCCCAATACTTATCAAACTTTTTTTTTCATTGCAATGGCCATGGCTTGAAAATTCAAGTCCTCACTTTGTTCCCAATTATTCAACATATCATACATAGAAGCAATTTCTCCTAAACCTTTATTAGCTGTCACATAATGGGAACCAGAAATTCGTTTAGTTAACAGATAAAACCCCTCTAGAAACAAAACCAACCTCTCCACTTTTTCCCAATCTTCGGGTTCGGGAGGCCTTTCATTGTCATTCAAATCCTCTCCATCAGGAAGAGATAACCCACTAAAAACACGTCGAAACTTCAAAGCCGTTTCCAACATTATGTATGTGGAGTTCCAACGAGTGGGGACATCAAAGGATAAAGAAGATTTTGAATCTATGTTTGCTTTTTGCACAAGATCTTTGAATCTAAGTATTCTTGCAGGGGAATTCTTAACATATTTCACAGCATTTCTAACTCTATCAATGCACACACCATGTTCTCTAATACCATCCCACACAATTAAATTAATGATATGAGCAATGCATCTAACATGAAGATTTTTTCCATCATTTATACATTCTGTTCTTCTAACCATTCTACTTAAGTGTGCACAAGCAACATCATTTGAAGAAGCATTATCAACAGTGACAGTAAAAAGTTTATCATCAATACCCCAATACTCTAAACATGCCTCAACTGCTTTTCCAATAGCCTCTCCTTTATGACTAGAAATTGGACAAAAATTTATGATCTTTTTATTCAATTTCCAGTCATTATCAATGAAATGAGCTGTAAGACACATATAATTAATTCTTTGTATTGAAGTCCAAGTATCAGTGGTCACAGAAATTCTTTGACATGTCTTAAACATTTCTCTCAATTTCTCTTTTTCACTATAATACAACTTTAAACAATCACGAGCAATGGTAACACGAGATGGAATGTGAAATTGTGGACATGCAACTTGCACAAAGTGCCTAAAACCGGGTTTTTCCACATGCTTAAATGGTAACTCATCAACAATAATCATGTGAATCAATGCCTCTCTAACATCATTCAAGTTAATAATCCTACTCCCACACTTTAATTCACTACTCTCATGTTCTTGATCAAAATACAATTTAGTTTGCTTTTCTTTGCCCTTTTCTTTTTCTATATTAATAGGATTACCGAGACATGATTCTGCATGGTTTTTAACATTTTTTGAACCATTAAGATTACCATCAGCAGCAAAAGTTTTAGGACAGAACTTACATTCAGCTCGTAGTTTTCCATTCTCGACGTACTCTAAGTAATATTTCTAATACTCAGCTTTCCTCTTACTTTTTCTGTTCCATATATATTCCCGCCCCGCTTTTAGCTTCTTATCAGGAGGCAAAGTAGATTGCAATTCTTCCATATCCTTTTCAGAAAGTGGCTGTGACGTTTGTTCAGAAAAAGAAGCAGACCGTTTGGATTGAGAGCCCTCCATCTACAATATAATTATATACAATATAAGTATTTTTAAAGTAACAATTATATACACATACCATTTTATAAAAAAATTTAAGAGCAACTTACATTGCAAGAATAAGAATCCGTGGTTCCTTGACTTCCTTCACTCCCTGCAAGAATAAAAACAAAAATAAGAACCCCTGAACTACACACAGGTTAGCCAACTTATTTAATCTTAATAATCTGAGTCCATACTTTTAGCAGCCTAGCAGGAATAAACACAAATTTTAAAGTATAAGTTAGCTTAAAAAGTGTCCATATATACACATTAGAAATATCAATACACATTAGAAATACTTTCAACTTTCTGAAATTTATGTTAAGAAAAAAATGAGAGAACATTATAAACCTTTAACTTCCATTTAAAAGGTTTCAAAAAAAAAAAAAAAAAAAAAAAACTACAGTGAAGAGGGTTTAAGTATTTCATACAAGTTTTTCAAATGTAAATAGAGTTTCTTGTCCAATTCTCCTTGAATTCATACCTTATAAATTAGTTTAAATTATTTGAACTAATAATGTTTATTATGATCTATTGCAACAGGTTAAGGAGAATCCATCAGGAAATTTCAAGGAGATGTATAGACATATTTGTAAAGGTGCATGGACTTTCTCAACACTAGATCACGGTTGGCAAGTCTCTGATTGTACTGCAGAGGGGCTCAAGGTAATTGAATACACATTTTCTATCATAAACAATACTCATCTAGCCATTTCTTAACCCTCGAGTTTTCATCTTTAGATGAGAACACCTAACAACGTAGCAAAATTAAAACAGCCCCATCCCTAACCCTTACCCTACCCAGATCCACCACTGCCCACACCCCTGCTCACCACCCCAACCCACCCCACCCCACCCCACTGCCACCCCTTAACCCTTAACCCCCACACACCAGAACCGTACCACCGTAACCCCACCATAACCCCACCCCAACCCACCCTACCACACAAATTTTCGCACTAAATTAATCTTAATAATCATAATAAACACAAAATTTCGAACTAAATTTCGCACTTGAACCCTAAACCCTAAACTTCTTAATTCTTATGAACCCTAAACTCAAAAAAACCAAAAAAAAAAAACAGAAATTCGAAAGAGATGAACTAAAAATAAGAAATTCAACATGCAAACATCAAACAATCATTAAAAGCAATTGAAAATTTGAAACAAGAATAAACATATAAATTCTCACACTTAAATTTATTATTTCGAATTAAAAATACCAAAATTATAAGCAAATACTTACCAGATATTATCGGTGTGCATCGCCTGAGAGAATGAGGGAGGTGTCAGCAGTGGGCGGTGGCCGGAGCGAGTTGGGACAACCGGACAGCCGCGTTGAGAAGTTGAGATTGAGGGAGGCTGAGAGAATCAGTTTGGGCATAGGGAGTTAGGGTTAGAACTTAAAAATATGAAAGAGATTGAGGGAGGCTGAGAGAATCAGATATTTTCTTGTTTTTTTTTTTTTTTTTTAATTACGATTTTCCCTGGTTTCAGGTCCGGACCTGAAAACCCCGGGTTTGGACCGGGTCCGGACCGGGACCGGGAACCTGGATTTTTAAGAACCGGGACCGGGCCTGAATCAACAGGTCCGGGTCAGGTCCGGTCCGGTTCAGGTCGGTTCAGGTCCGGTTTCAGGTCCGGGCCAATTTTTGTACACCCCTAGTCACATCACTACTCAACCAAACTAAATCATTATGCCACATCACCCAACATTACTCCATATAAAAATATAAGGATAAGAAAATTCAAACACCCAACTTCTTATAACAAGGATGGTTATGTACCTATCTAAGTCAATTATCAACAATGTTATAAACACGAAAATAAATGTATATAATTGCAAATCAAAGTTCTAATTTAAAAGGAAAAAAAGACAACATAAATATTAAATACATATGATCACAATGTCCAATTAAAGTAGCAATCTGGTGCAACGCCTGGACTACACACTAGTTATTATTACATATAAAAAGGCGTTTGTTTCAAATGGACGGCGCCACGTGGCATTCTTCAAAGTATATGCACCATGTCACAATGCCATGTCATTATCCAAAGTATATGTACCACATAAGCTTGCCACTTCATTTAACAAAATAAATTATACTTTGAGCTAGATTCGAACTCGTAACCTCCAACACATAAAGGTCATACATTTACCATCTCAAGCAACTTTTATTAATGTTTTAAATTTCACATAACATTATACAAGTATATTCCTTTCATTAATTAAGTAAATTAGGGGTTATATATTTTATTTTATTTTTCACAAAATTAGAAAATAAATACATATGAAGTAAAGTAAATAAAATAAAAGTAACAGCTGAGGCAACACTCGGCCCACACATTAGCTATACAAACAATCAAACATAATTATCAAATTAGCGAACTAAAAACTAGCAACCCAGGGCATCGCCCGGACCATACACTAGTATTTACAAACATAAACCACAAATCATTCATTTGCCACATGTCATCACAAATCACCCATATGCCACATGTCACCTCCCTTAATCTTTCCTTTTTTGTATTCTTTTTTAATATAAAAATTAAGATAAATATATTATATGATGTTTAAGTCTTTATGCATTGCGTAACTTGCAAATTTAATTAAGAAAATAAAGTGTTTCTTTTCCACCATAATAAATTAAAGTTGAACTAATTAGTACACATTACATAAACATATGAAGTACAATAAAAATAGTTTTTCACCTCTTAAACTTAAAATTTAACTTAAACTAATATGTTATTTCATATCCCACAATATTCATGCACATATAGCAAACTAAATTCCTTTATCTTCTTCCACAGTTCCACCCTCACTCTTTTTTTTCTTTTAAGTTTTGCCAGTGAACTTTGTTCACTTCAATGGTCATGAAACAATTACTTCGTATTTTATATCAAAGTTCCAACTATTGAAAAGCATACCTACATATAAAAATAACCTAAGTAATTACCCGTGCATCGAATGGGCCAAAATGCTTGTTATCTATACTTATATATTAAAAAGCGTTCCTAATACAGAATGTGTGTCACGTATCGTCTTTTTTAAGCACTACAAACATGTCATGTCAGCATTATGTGCCACGTGTAACCACTACACGAAAAGGGCAAATTGGCAACGGTTCAAACCCCCCCAAAGGCAACGGTTTTGAACCGTTGCGTATTTGAGGGTTGCCAAATCCCAAAATAATTGGCAACGGTTCAAAACCGTTGCCAACTCAAGCAATTGGCAACGGTTAACCGTTGCCATTGACCAATTTTTTTTTTTTTTTAAATAAACCGTTGCCATTGACCCATTGGCAACGGTTAACCGTTGCCATTGACCCATTGGCAACGGTTAACTGTTGCCATTGACCTTTTTTTTTTTTTTGGTAAGCAAGCAAAAAGCTAATAATCTCAAAGGCAACATTTTAGGAGGTAATCATTTTTTTTTTTTTTTGGTAGGTAAGAAAGGGATATTATTACTAAAAGAAAAAAGGGCAAGCCCTCATAAAGTACAGCCGCACCGTGTCCTCATACACAAATAAATACGCTACGTGAAAAAAATACAAACCCCTCCAAACTTGGAGGTTACAAACAGCAACAAACCAGAAAAAAAAAAGAAAGAATAACAGCAGCAGGGCAGAAACCTCCAGAATCAGCAGCAGCAGCAGGCAGACAGCATCAACAGGAAAAGAAAAGCAGCGACACCAAGCAGGGACAACAGCAGAGGGATAGCAGTAACAGCAGCAGCAGTGACAACAGCAAACCGGAAAGCCAGAGCTCAAACAAATCCTCTGCGTACCAGACAGAAAGTAGGGCAGCAGCACCAAAAACCAATCACAGCAGGGCTGTTTTAGCTTCAGACAGCCAGCATAGCACCTGGCAGGCAGTAAACAGAGGCAGCAGCTAACAGGGATCAATTCTTGGCACTAGGCAGCAGAATTACAGCAGCACAGTCATCCAACAAGCCTAACCAGCTTCTCACAGCAACACTGTCAGCATCATCAACAGCTTCACCAAAGGAGCACAGCAGCATAGAGACAGAACAAGCATAGCAGCAAGTAAAAATAGGATATTGACAGCAAAAATAAAAATAAAAAATTAAAGGAAATCAGTCAACCATGGAGAAATCGTCACCGGAGGAGGGTCAATTTTCCCCTCATTCGAACCAGGACCTGATTTCACCAATGCAAACACACAACTCGCACCCCATGTATGGATCCAAAGATCCCAAACCACAAGACTGATCTTAGTTAATAGAGAAAAATGATCTATTAGACTCAAAATTCTAAACAAGCAGCTACTGTATATTAGATAGTAGCAGACACAGTGAACAGAGTAGATAAAAAGTTTACGAAGCTTGAAACAACGGAGTTGTGTAACAACGGGGTGGGGGGGAGGGAGGAATGAATACAAGAAACATAAATGCTTACAATGCTATACAATCTGAATCTGCTTTAAAAAGGGCTCCTCTGTGTTACACGGATATATACTATCAACGCAATGATTGAAAATTCTATCAAAATTTGAACTCCCAGCTCTCCCCTATGATACAGAATGGCTTCCCTTAACATTCAAATCATCATATGTAATTATGTATTGCCTTTATACAATAAATTATTCAGGTGACTACTGGCCAAGCAGGAAGCACTCCAAAGCAGTACCCGAAGCTAACAACCTCATCATTAGAGTTGACCACAAATAATTGCATCAATATTTCAAACAAAAATTAGCATTATCATTCCACTCCTAACAAAAAGCACACAAACAAAAGCAAATATCATGAACTAAGAAAACATTTTAGACAAAAGAAAAGAGAAAATTTTTCTCACCTGTTATACGAAGTAGGTCTGTTTTGACTTGAGACATAGAAAAACTTCATGATGACTGTAAAAATAAATAAATTAATTAAAGAAGGGGAAAGAGAGAGAGACACCGAAGAGATTCAAATCAAACCTTGGTAGAAAAAACCCTCTCATGCGATTCATCAAGAATAATATTTGTTGCCTGGTCAAAACCTTTTAGGATTCCCTGAATCATAATGATTTCAACAAACAGCCCACAATAACAAACAAACCTAACCATTTATACAAAGAACGAACTCGAACAAAGACATGCTCATACAAGGTTTAATACTTAACCATTTTTCATGAATTTTGTTGCAAAACACTCCTTAAACACAGAATAACAACATGGAACAAACAATTTCAAGAATAATGGACCGAATTGAAAACTCCCAAATTCGAAATTTAGGGTTTTTTTGTTCGATTTTTCCCAATTTTGACCAAAAAAACTGTAAAATTATTTGACAAAATCTAATAACCGAATGAAATATTAAAGACAAAAAATAACTTAACTTAACCTCTTGCCTCGTATTTCGCCTCCTCCTTTCCGCAATTCGTACCCCAAAAACCCCAAAAAATTACGGATCTGAATTACCCCAAAAAGGCGAGAAAGACGAGAAATAAGGGGAAGGAGAAACAGAAGGGGAAGGAGAAACGGGAAGGAGAAACAGAAGGGGAAGGAGAAGAGAAAGAGATTCAAAGAGTTTAGGGAGATTCAGAGAAACAGGGGGAATAGGGGAAGGAGAAGAGAAAGAGAGCGAAGGAGAGGAGGGTGCATGTATATGGGTTTTTTTTTTTTTTTTTTTTTTTTTTTTTAAAAAAAAATTGGCAACGGTTACGGTTAACCGTTGCCAACCTCTACCCCTTTTTTTTAAATAATTTAATCAATTGGCAACGGTAACCGTTGCCAATCTAAAAAAAAAAGGGGTAGAGTTGGCAACGGTTTTCATGAACCGTTGCCATAGGGGGGTTGCCTATTTCTGTTTTTCTACTAGTGAACATCTTTGAATGAACTTTATAAGTATGTCATGTTACCTCCACAATATATATTAGATTTGACAATTTAAAAATGTTTATACAAAGACTTTAACTTAAGACCAACAAGTATCAAGTTACAAGTCTTACCACCTTAACTATCCATTTACGATGCTTTTTTACCCAACAAAATTATACTTAACTTGGATAAAATGATTAGTGTTTAATTATCCTATTTGTTCTCATTATGTAATGATCATAAGACAATTTAACAGCTTTAATTTTAAAGTTTGAAAAACTCCGTATTATTTTTCGATTTGATGAAAATTAATAATTTTGTTTTTCTGTGAAATAATCAATAATTGTTGTATATATTTACTCCCTCCGTCCCATAATATTTGGAAAGTTGGGGTGGACACGTAGTTTAAGAAACCTACAAGTGGGTCCATTTAAAACATTTGTTTATTATACTTCCTCCGTTCTTTTTTACTTGACCCGTTTTGACTTTTACACTATTCACCACCTCTCTTTTGACCGTCTTTTGTGAATAATATGTAAGGAAAAACATATTCATGTGGGGTCTTTTTAAATTCATCTCAATAAGTGCTAACATAATGTTTAACTTTTATAATTTTTGCTTAATAAGAATAAGTTATTGATCGTTAAAGTTTTACATTGGCAAGCGTGATAAAAGAAACAGGTCAAGTAAAAAAGAACAAAGGAAGTATAAAGGATTCTCTTTTGTGTTTTTATATTATAAGAAAACTAAAAGTGGGGGGGGGGGTTGAGGTAGTGAGGAGAGAGAAAATGTAGAATTCAATTGGATTTTGGGGTTTGTGGTCCCAAAGAGAGTATAGGAAAAAAAATTATTAGTAATCTCATTCCATATTTAGTAACGTGTCAAGTATTTAGGGACGAACGAAAATAGTGACAGCGTCAAGTATTATGGGACAGAGGGAGTAAATCATAACAAACAAAATATTGAATATGGTTTTCCTAATGCAAAGCTTTTTTTAAATTATGAAATTTTCAAGATGATTATCAAAACACTATGATGAAACAACCGAACATGATTATCAAACTAAACAAGTACAAACTAGCAACCCGGGGCATCGCCTAGGCCACACACTAGTTATTATTATTATTATTATTATTATTATTATTATTATTATTATTATTATTATTATTATTATTATTATATATTAAAAAGCGTTCCTAATACAGAACATGTGCCATGTGGCACCATTCACATGTGTTAGAAATATGACACATCACTATAATATGCCACATCATCCATTTTTCTATAAACATGTTTCAATGGAAATAATAATGTTTATTGCAAGGTTTGAACACAAGACCAATTAGAAATGAATTAATATTCTAATCATCTTTCAATCTTTTAATTATGCTTCATATTCAATAATAACACACTAAATAGATACTTTGTATATAACATAATTTGAGAGTGCTTCTTTAGTTTCATTAGTTATTATTGTCACTTTTTTATATATATAAAAGAACTCTCCTCTGTATAAGAACTCAATCTTATATAAGAATAAATCTAATCCACAGGATTAGATTGATTTGAACGGATCTGATTAAAGGAAGAAAAGTAATGACACTTTTGTAAATATTAAACCGCAACCTCTACTACTTAATCTAAAAATAAGAACATTATCTCTCCTACTATACCCATTTGCTTCACTTTCTCTCTCCTAAAACCAAAATAACACTCTACAAAACCTCCATTAACAGACCAAATAATAAATATGTATACCATCAAATACGTTATCTTTAATGTTTACAATATCTTAATCTGTGTAGCCTTGAGCCTGAACTATTAATGCTTCTGTATTTTAATAGCAAAATGGATACAATAAGCACTAATGAAAGCATGAATTATGAATACAAAGTAATATATATACGTGTTTAAAAAATTTCTAGCATTTTTGGTATGGATATACCTTTTTAAAAAAAAAAAAATATATGTAACATAATACATAATGCCGTTATTTAGTCGGACGTAAATCATCAAAGTGCACTTATTAATCATCATAATGTTCTTGAAACCTACTATATCTAGTTCTACATCGTAATATCAATTTGGAGACTATATTACTAAATAGCTCAAAACATGTCATACTAAGTCAATAACTCAATCTCTAAACACGACTAATTTTTTTAGCACCATTTTTTAATATGGAGATGATGAACAACCTTCAGGTACGGGATGTTTTTTTAAATTAGACTTTAAAATAAATCGATAAAAAAATTATAGGTTTGAGTTTTCGAACCTACATGGACACTATTTTGAGAAATATTTTCAAGTGAATACTGTTTCGGGGTTTTCTGATGTCCTGCGGGAGAGTTACAATTCCGAGACTGGAACCGGACGCCTGTACCTGCAAAACAACGGAGACTCCTGGTGGTGGGAGCTCCGCCTCCAACGGTCAAGTTAGTACTTGATTAAGGAGTAATTAATGCGGAAATTGAAGTGAGTGGGTCTCTCTAGGTGAGAGTGTTTAATGTGAGTTTTTAGCGTAATCAGCCTGTAACTCTGGGTGTAATCAATGTGTTTTTCCGTAATCCCCCTTAATGAGGATTAAGGGAGGTATTTATAACCTTGAGAAATGTGCCAATCCTAGGTTTAGGTTAACCTAGGGCCGATTGGGCTTCCCTCGGAAGTTGGGCCTGGGTGGCCGGTTTCTCCATTAGGCATGGAGTATGCCATGTGTCATGACATAACAGGTCCAAGGTGGACGAATAAGCGTGTGCCACGTGGCAAGCCCTGACAGTTCCAACTGGGGGACACTTGGCAGGACCTGATTGGCCCACGTGGCGCATTCCGATTGGTGGGAGCAAAATCCCCTAATCATTTGCCCCTCACAGGTGGCACGTGACTGGTCACGTGTTACCTGTGACAGGTGCCGCACTGTAACAGGCGACGGCCTGCTACAGGTGTCAGTCGGCGAAAGGCCGAGAGATTTTCCTGCCCAAATTTTGAATTCTGAAAGTGACCCTTTGCCTTCTCACTTTGCCTATATAAGGGAGAGTTGTGTTGAGTCATTTTCACACTTGAGAACTTTGTGAGAGAACATTCGGACCCCTGAACTTGCTCTGACATTTTGGACCTTTTCTGCCTACCGCCTGTTCTGACAAGCCGACTGTAAAGGATTTTCAGAACTTCATCAACCGTCACTCGTTCAGGTAACTGTCGGTTCTCTTACTCTTAATTTTCTTTTTTACTTTTTTGAAATGGCACCACGGAAGCACACGACACGACCTAGGTTAGTGATCAGCCGGTCACCGGGGACGGCTGAATCTAGGACTAGGAGTGCCGCCTGCCCTTTTCCGGACCCATCTTTTCCCTTTATACAAAGTCCGACTGTATCTGTGTCTATGTAGAGCAGGATGGCCAGAACGAAAAAGACTTCTAGGATCTCAAATTCAGACGGCTCCTCCCACAGGGTGCCGATTAGTGAAACATCTGACCAGGCGCCAGATGTGGAAGTGAAACAAGGCGGCCTGAAAGCCGACAATTCTGAGGGAGGAGTCATAGTGACCCCTTCCCATTTAACAGTTAACAATTCTGCTCCTTTTCAAAGAGAGGAGGCGGGCCCCTCCGGGAGAGGGGAGGAGTCGTCCTCTTCGGACTCGTCAGAGGGCGATTCCGAGTCTAGCTCTTCTGGTCATCCTTCTCTGGACACAGAAGAGAAAAACAGCCGCCTGCAAGAGGCGAGACTTTCTCACGCAGTTGAGAAGGGGGACAATTGGGCGGAGCCATCCGCCTCTTACCGAGAGCAAAATACCCCCTACTACTGCACGGTACCTCGGGGCCGGATCACAGTCATGCAAGAGAAAGTGGAGAGCTTTATCGCAAACCACACAATGGGCCCCGACTTTTTAGTGTTTGTGCCGGATCCAGAAGACACAGTCGTCTAGCCGGCTGGTACCAGTTATTATAACGCCTGCTTTGGCTGCTACGAGGCGGCTATCAAGGCTGGGCTGCGCTTCCCATTACATCCGGCTGTTCAGCGGATCTTGGATGGGTATGAGTTGGGGTTATGGCAGTTAGCCCCAAACTCCTGGGTCAACGTACTCGGCTTTGTGGCCGGGTGCGAACTGCACGGGGTGGAGCCGAGCTTCGAGGCTTTCGCCCATATGAACTATCTCAGCCGGACCCCTAAGGCAGGCGGTACCGGCTGGTATCAATTGACAAGCCACAGGGGCTACCTCATGACGAGAGGTAAAGCAAACAAGTGGAAGGACTGGCGGAGCACCTTCCTCATCATTGAGAGTTCAGACACTGAGCTGAACAAGCGCTTCAATAGGTGGAACAGGAATCCGCCCCTTCTTGCAGGCGGCCGTAGCATGCCGCCTGTTCCCCCCAAGGCTAAGAAAGAGATCCTTGATAAAGGACTCTTTAAAGTAGAGTCGAGCGTCGACTCTACTTCAGGGGTACGAGAGCAAGTACCCCTGCACTGCGTCCCGAGCTTCAAATGGCTCTACGACGAGTACTTTTTGGCCGCCTGTGGCCTCAGCAGTCGGTGCTCAAGAGGTAGTCAGCCTGTCGAATACTCTGTTGTTCCATACATTTCTTGTTATGACTTTTATTAACTTTGCTGTTTGTTTTTGCAGCTGACGCCATGAGCAAAATTACCACCTCCAAGACTGCGGCGGCCATGTTGCAGGCCTCCATCATGCAACAAGCTTCAACCGACTCCCCCAAGAAGGGGGCACCCTTGCTGAGCTCCGAACCTTTCACCCTCTTTTTGGAGTTGAGTTTATGCATATACTGACTTTTTTCTT